GATCGTTCACGAGGAAGCCGCAGCACCGCGGGAGTCCCGTCTTCTTTGTACAGAACCTAGATTTCAGGGACGAAACAACACAAGCCATGAACAGCGTTTCCAATTTAATGGCAGACGCTTCCGGCACAGACTGATCAAAAGTGCACATTGCCCTGCGTTGTCGCGTGGCGAGGATGACAGCAGGCGGAGCGGCTGGACAAGGCTCGCGGACGCTTCCAGGCGATCGAGGCTTTCTCCTCCTCGCAGGCGTGTACTGCAAAAGCGGCTCGTAAACCACGTGATTCCCGATCGAGCACTTGAAAACGCTGCCTCGTTCCCTTATGTGCCGCTCCCGGAATTACGCTGCCGAAGTTGCCGGTGGCGCTGCGATCGCATTCTAGCTCGACTATGTATCACATTCTCCGTTGCCACCGCCTTCGCCACAATAGTCGGGGAAAAGAGAACGACTTTTTTCACTAAACTGCTGCAAATCTACCAGAGGTCGTCATGTTTCACTCTCCAACAGACTTCTGCAAGCAGGCATTAGAGTGACATCATCTCAAAGCTTCTTCGAGGGCATTCGGCCAAAGCTATAATTTCTGTTGGAACTGCGCCAGCGACCCAAGAGCGAGTCTTTTGTTGGATAACGATGTACCGCGCGGAATGTTTCGACAAAGTATAGGCTAGCTTCTTCCTGTCGGTCGCTCCAGCAAGTCTACGAGCTGAGAGTTCTGGGAAGAAAGTGCGCAGCAACAACGCCGACTTTCGCGTGTCTGACCGAGTTGTCGGCCCTTTTTGGATACGTCCAGGCTGTCCCGACGACGAAAACAGGAGAGCGAAGAGAGGCGATTGTTTTCGGGAAACATCACTTGGTCAACACGAAACGTAAGTAGCTGCCTCTTTCATGGCTGCGCAATGGACTACTATATTTTAAGTAGTTCACTTTTTCGGTTTCGAGCCTGTCACGTGAGACACCGGGACCTCAGTCAGTCACCCTGATGGGGTTTGTGGAAGAAGAGCGGCGTCTCCCAATAACAAACTATTCGGATACGATGCTGCCGGCGCGAGTCGCTATGCTCTTTTTGCGCTGTGTCGTTTGTCCCGTATCTTCCTAAAGGCCGGTTCAGACAGTTGCGTTTGAATGCGTTTGACTGCGTTGCGTCGAGAACCGAAAGCGAGTCACCGGCACATCTGTGCTTCGTATGAAGCGTGGAATACGATTCGAGGAATCATCTTGGCACGCGATATAAGCAGCAGGGATGTGCTGGTTTCTCACAGCCGCAACGCAGTCAAACGCAGTCAAACGCAACTGTCTGAACCAGGCTTAACAAGGCCTGATAGCTTCAGTGACTTCAGAGAAGTGGACAAGGCAAGCCTCATCGTACACAACTTTGTAACGGTTTATACTGCCTTTCGGCCGCCATATTGGTCAAGATTGGCGACCTCTATAGGTCGTTGGCGTAGCGAATACCGTTCCGACACATACCGTGTCTCCGTGTGCAATTGAGGCCTTGACACTATTTACTCCATTCCCCGCGAACTCAATCCTGGCTTTGCTACTGCGTGGCGTATACAGGAAGTAGGCAGTTTTAGAATAGCGTACGCAAAGGCTTCGTGTATGCAAAGAATAGCGTCGTCGTCACTGAGCATACGCCGAACGCTAACCGCAGTTTGCTCTTTGCGCGCACTAGTTTAGCGGACGCTATTCGGAAATTGCGTGAGTACGCAAGTAATCTTTGCGCTCCTCCAAAGAAGGTTCGTGAGATTCGTGATGCGTGAGAGGTTGACTAAAGCCAAGACGAGCACTGTCAGAAAATGGCGGCTCCCAGGACCACGGCCGTCGCGGCTGCGGTCGCTTGGCGGTCTTTGTCAGCCCGACGACGGCAACATCCTCGCTTCTGCGATTTTCAATACAGGACGGCATGGCACTTCTACGGGAGGTGCACATCGCAAAGCCAGCAAGGTTGGCAACGGTCGCTGCAACTTCCTGCCTGCGACGCGCGAACGTTTCTCGGCGTATGCGTACGTCGGGTACATGCGCGAAGGTACACGAGACCTCTCTTGCCGAGGCGATGCAAGCGGACACGAGCGGTCGACCGCTAGCGTCGCAATCTCATATTTAAACTAACCTAAAATGTTTACTCCGGGCCCCCAAAAAAAATAAAATTTGTTTTCTCAGGTTGCAGCATTTCGTGTGTGAAATAAAACTTGTTAATGTATGTTGGTGAGGGCGCTGCAAACGCAAGATGCTTGTTTCTTTATTTTTTTTTTTTTGCATCGCGGCGAAGGAACGCTATTCTAAAACTCTCTTTCGTAGCGTGCGCTAACGCGAGTGCTAAATTGAACGCTAGCGTGCGCTAATATATCGTATGTTATTCTAAAATTCCCTATTGAGTACCGCTCGCGAATAAGATACACTTTCGAGAAGATTCACTTCTGAATCACACATGCGCAGTTGAGTTTCCTCATCTGTTATCACACCCTTAAAGGGATGCTGAACCGATAACTGGATTCCACGAAACACGCAGCAAAAGCGTGCAACGGGTTATGCAATGATTCTGTTTAGGTCAGTAAAACGGCCCGCCGACTCTCAAGTCCGGTATGTGATAAGATATCTGAATGCAACGAATTCAAGACCATTCAGAAAACAACGCAGATGATAATCCTAACATTCGCGTTTCCGCACCACCAGCCATGCGCCTGTTGCACGAGTGCCAACTTAACCGCACCCCCGCGCTTCACACATACTTCAAGTCCATCCAAAATTGACTAGTGTTTTCTTTTTTTTCATTTTCTTATGGCGCTGAGTAAGCTTGTACTTGAAACTGTATGTTTATTTTCACCAATTATTAAGTTCGTTAAAACTCTTAGTTAATTATCTCACTTATCGTGACGATTATCCCCCAATAGTATGTCCCCTTTTCCGTATAACTTACCTGCATAGAACGCATTATACTTCGCCTCACCCACCAGGGTCTCACATCAGTATGGACTAACAGCAAAGGCTGTGCAAGCGCGAGAGGCTATCCTGGACTGCCTTGACAGGAGCACTCGCTGCACGAGCGCTCGTGCAGCCTGCAACGCTTCACCCACAACACCTTAGCGTAGCTAACAATACTCCATGCTAAGGTGAGACGAAGTATAGTGTAGCTTTCGCGATTTTGAAAAACATCTGTAAAGCCTAAAAAAAATAAAATATGTTACCCCGCATATTTGTCTAATCAAATTGGTGATATGCCATTTCATCACTTCATCGTCAGTGTAGTGTGTACATGTGTGCCGGTGCGTGAATGCACACGGCTGGTGCTTGCAGTAAGCATATGTTTGCTGGGTACAATTTCTTCCGCAGATCAAGATGATTTCCCGGCCACTGTACGAACTCGGCGGCGACTCGTTCACTGATGTGGCGACCAGTCTTCTCTACTGGGCTCTCAAGTGGAGCGCTGGCATCTCAATATCGTTGGCACTTCTGCTGGGAGTCTGCGTCTCGGTGGCCCGATGGATTCAGCTCAAGACTCTTCGACAACTCCAGCACTTACCTGGAAGGAGAGAGGTTCTGCCATTTCTGAACGATTACGCGCTTTTTAAAGCCTGTTCGCAGCAGGAGTCCCCGGCCGCATTCAACACACGTAAGAACACTGCACTTTTTATTTTATTTATTCCTTTATTTGCTTCGCAATACTACAGACCCCAATGGGATCCAAGGAGGAGAGATGCATCAGTAGAGAAAAAAAAGATGACATGCGTCTATTTGTTTTTGACATAATTAATGGCAAGTGCACTTTTTGTACACGTGGCAGGGAACAACACAAAACAACAAGCATTTGAGACGAATAAGCGGCATCAACACGCGGCATGGCCGACGCAGGCAACAAGACACCAGAGTGAGAGAAAAAAAAAACATATGGAAGGCGAATTGCAATCATCTGAAAACAGTCACCGGATTTAGCAAAAATAATCAATAGCCTTAGGCACCCGCACCAGATGTACTACGTTACACAAAATGTAAAAAAAAAAAAAAAAGTTTACATAAATCTGGAATTTAAAATCAAAGACGGCAAGTTGCAAAACCATCCCGTGACATGGAAATACACTGCAGAAAGGTGTCGTCAATTTGAGAAGCTGTGAGAAGTATTCACACTACACAATTTAAAAAAAATCATTGGGGATTTTATATTTATTTTTTACAAGGCGCATCAAAAGTGAAGTTGGGTATTGACCTTCATAAGGTAACGAACCTTCACATTGTATCCGAAACTTGTTTGCTTTCATTTTTTTTTTCAGCAATCATGTTACGTGCTATTTTGTTTTCATCAGGAAACGAGTTTTGAAAGTATATTCCCACAGTCGGCGTTTCCTGTTTCATTTATAAACGCTTACAAAACTTAATTATGCATTAGGCAGAACTTTATCGTATTAACAGGACTAGGTGGTGACTAAAAGTGTTTTGGACTACCTTACAGTGGCAGAATTGTGATGCGTATTTATTGACTTTGCATTTAAATTTGCCTATTGAGTTTGCGAAGGCCAAGGAGAGTTGCTGTTTCTTGAGCGATAAGCATTAAAACACCTTGAAGTATTAAAAAAAACAATACATAATAGAAAAGACGAAACAAATTTTATTATCTCTGGGCGTCAGTCAAATGCTAAGGTTAGAGTGCGCACAGCGACGATTTGAAAGAATAATGTATGATCGCTACATTGGACGGAGAGTATTTTTGCGATTACGTGCGCCTCTTGGATACACTTGTCTTTCGTCTCTTTCAGATAAACAACTAGTTCGCGACATGTTTTTTTTTTTTTTGTTATATATATATATATATATATATATATATATATGAACTGCTCAACGCTGTTATTGATTCCCGTTTGTTATTGATTAGAAACTCACTTAATGGTCCCCAGCGACGAAACTGGTTCTACGGTTTCTTTTTACCCTTCTAACTTAGAATCTAATCTTCCGTTGACTCCGGTGCAGACCATGTATGACAAGTGTTTTAACCCTGACGTGGACCTTTTCCCTATCCTCGCATGTTTTTAAAAAAGTAATACTCAGGCTCACTTTGTAGTGTGAAAATATTTTAGTCTGATCGTCTTTCAATCTGTACAAGTGTAACCTTCTTAAGGCCTTACCAGCTGTTTAGGGCGCAATAAAAGGCGGATTGATTATTTGATTGAAAACACATGAGACGGAGTGGAGAAACCTGAAGAAACCAAAGTAGAAAAAAATAACAAGACAAAACGAGACGTTGGTTTCTGTCGTCTTTTCCGTTTCTTCTACTTTAATTGCATTACATCGCCCCCTCTCCCGTCTCGGTGTCTTAAGAAAATGCTACACTTACACCACATCGCCTGCGCCATCAGTGCATTATAATGTTTAGTGCCATCCTTCATTTGTGTTTCCTTCTACTTCTATAATTTACATCAACGTACTCAAACACAGATGTCATGCAAAGTAGAGTATACATACATCTAGGGCGAAATTGATGGAGACGCTGGCGTTAAATTGAAGCAACCCAGAGCTTGAGCTGAAATTTTCATCAAACATGTACTTCAGTGGTGCATGACCCTTTCTGAAATCGCCAAACGTCACTCTATTCCCGAAAAAAACAATGCCGTTATTGTAAACATTTGCTTTCGACGTACCCAGCCACGCGTAGAGCTGTCTGCAGGGAGCAGTTATCCGGCGGTGTCGCAATGGGCCCTTGGAAGCAGACAGCGCGGCTGAGCGGTGTATTTGCGGCAGTCTTGCACAATCGCGTTCGCCATTTTTATGCGGTACTAACATTACTGTGCGTCATTACTTTTAGATGGCAGTTTCGTGACACGGTGATCATCGTCAATTTGATCGACCGCCGCCGTGTTGCTGTATTCGCAAAGATATATGTTATAAGCAGCCCAATACCATAAGAGTTCATATGGTATACATGAGGGAAATAACCAACATTTTCCAATGTGTTTCGACCGCTTCATAACGGCAAGGAGTAGGCGTGGAGATCGGTGGTTCCTATGGGCCCATATTGTTGGTGAGGCTTTAATATACACGAATAAATGGCAAAACGTAACTTCTAAGGTGTCTACCTAGTTTGTTTGTTTTGTTTTTTTGCTTTGTGTGGCACGAAGACAGCAGCGTCAAGAATTCAACACAATATTCAACTCGTCGCGATCAAGCGAACTAACCTAATATTTCGTCTGCTTTCTTAATCCGCTTTTCAGTCGCCCTCTTTCTTGTTCTATCTCTTGAAAGCACTACTGCGTATAATTTGGCGAGCATCTCTACCCCCTTCCATAGTCAATGACAGTCAATGAGCATCTTGTTATCGCTCTAGAGCCAATAAGACTTCGGACAATAAGATTGGTGAAGAACGAATCACGTGAACATGATAATTATCCACGCCATGCGTGGATAAATCTTCACGCATGGCGAGGATAAATATTAAAACCTGACAGCGACTATATAAGGCGCGTCTGCGCAGGAGGACGACAATGAAATTCTCCACGAATATTATTTTTTGTATTTCACAAGAACCGCACTAGGCATCGAAATTGTTCCTATCAAAATTTCTCCTGTAGGAATCACATACCACTAAAATACACAACTGAGAAATATTCGAGATCCTTCCGTGCAGGCGCGAATTTTTTTCCGACTTGGTTTATAGCCTGCCGAGCTATTGTTCGTCATCACAAACCCCGAGCTATATTTTTTGAGAAATTAGCAATTTTAATCGAAGAAACAGCCACACTATATTTACGAGCTGCAGATATAGTATAGATTCTAATATCGCCGCGAGGAAGAGGAAGACGTCCTGTCGCAGGTAACGTGGCCAGCGTCAGCGATCGCGAACCTGCGGTGGCCAGTTCGAATTAAACCGCGCGCCATTGAGCGGACGTCTCGTCTGCGACCCTCAGCCAATGTAGCATCCTTTGGTAAAAGTGCGGGGTAATGCCACGTGGAAGAGAAAGACGGGCAGGCGTTTGCGGGGTTCATACTCTTCCGTTCATCGTCGTCATCTCCCTGAACCTTGGCAACAGCAGCCCTCCACCGCAGCCGATAGACCTCCAGACCGGAAACCGGGCCAGCCCCGCGCGCACGGCCCGGCTTCCACAATATCTTTCTCTCTCGTTGAATGAATATGTCTTCGGCGTTTGCTGCCGGTCGCACATCATCGTAACAATATATATCTAGAAGCTCGAAAGATCAAATCACGCAAAGAGGAAAGCGAAGTACCTTATTGTCCCGAAACGTTCAGAAAACCGTCTTGCAAACAGTATTGAATACAAATATCGTAGTTATTTTTATTATAAATATCATTTCCGTTTTGAAGGGTTTGATTGATTGGTAAATATATCACAGTGATGACTTAAAAACTCTAGTGCGTAGTCCTTCATTATTTTAGGTGGTGTTGACTCTGCCCATGTCGTATTCAGTTGTTCACATTCCTTCGGAGTGCTTACACTTGTAAGCACAATTAAAACGTTATTGGCGTAATTATACTATGGCACGTTAGTCCCTAAAGCGAGCTGACAGTAGGGTTGCCCAAAAGCACTCGGGTTGAAAACTAGAAAAAAGATCATGGGTTACCCTTGCTCCAGTTTGAATAAATAGCGAAAGTTCGGTGTTCAGGAACGCTTCGAACGCTGGCGATATGCTGAGATGCGACTTAATTTGTTATATTGCGTTGTGCTTTTCACAGTTTTCTTCAATGCGATCTCCGGGTTCCACGCTCGCTTCCAGAGGTACGGAATGCACAGAATCTACACTGGCTTGTCTCCTCTGATTATAGTCTATCGGGCAGACTACGTGGAGGTATGCTCATTGCATAATAATACCACACTCTGCATTACGAAAATTATCTATTAATAAACGTCTGTCACCAGGAAGTACTGAAGAGCAACACCCTGCTGAAGAAAGGAGCTGTGTACGATATGCTTCACAGTTGGCTTGGAACCGGCTTGCTAACCGGGTGAGTAGATATTACCATGATCTTTTGTCTTGAGATATACTATACACGGAGGGGTGGAGAGAAGCATGGATAGATGAATGGGTGCAAACGGTTGTACCCTTTATAACGGGTGGTAGCTTGCGCCACGTAGCTTAGAAACCAAAAGTATGAGTTTTCCTGCCCGCCAAATATACCTTCCCCTTTGTCTCTTTGTAACTATCACCAGTCGGTGTTGGATAGTCCCAGGGTAATCTTTAGGGGATTGTAGGGGATCGGGTAAAATAAAATGACAAATTGCAACTAATAAAAGGTTGTTAACATGTGTTTTTTTCTTCAGAAAAACACTGTCATGGTGTGTGGCCAAAATAGCTTAGTGGCCATAAAAATTATACATGATTTTATTTATTTACATGCTCATCGTTAATCAGTGTATGAACAGCCCATGTCTAAATTATGTTGCTCAATTTGTTATGATGTTGAATTTACGGCGTTGATTGAATACCGCAATATTTTCATTTTTTAGTAACAGTAGTGTGTAATTATAAAGTAATTCTTTTCAAACAACTTGTAGCTAAATTATGGTGCAAGTTATTGCCGAGAACATCGCTGCCGCGAATTAGTGGCAGAAAAATGTAACGTTGCAATTAGAAATGCTCCCGTTAAAGTAATATATATTATTTCTGAAATCTGTAATAAGAGCGCTACGCGATAAAATACTTACTATGGCATGCAAAATATAGGTTGCTTACTAAAAAATACGTTTAAGATATATCCCCTAAGATGTCTTAGATGGTACGATGCACTTTTTATTTCAACCAAAAATTCCTACGGCATGCAAATCTGTGGCATCGCATAGCACCATACAATATCATTTTACACACTCTCCGCCAAATTGTAATACCTCCATCGAAGGCACCATACTTGTTGTACTAAACACGGTAACATCTTAAGACCCAGGTTGGCATAACATCGCGTCGCAAGCCCGTCAACACGAGATATTTGCGATCAAATTTCAAACTTAGAAGTCTAGAAGTTCAATTAGGTACTGAGCGGCTGCTGTGGCGTTTCAGAGCATGCATGCTGACCATACTCTCAAACATTTTTTTCCCATAGTACCGGAAATAAATGGAGGACACGAAGACGACTTTTCACTCCTGCCTTCCATTTCCGAATTCTGGACGATTTTACGCCTACAATAAATGCCCAGTCCATGATTCTTGCCGATACTTTGGGGAAAATGTCTCTGGAGCACAACGGGGTTGACGTGGTACCGAGGGTAACACTCTGCACCCTGGACATTGTTTGCGGTAAGCCGTTTTCCAGATAATGTCACAAAACAACTGCTGTATTGAAATATAGCCACACGTCATTGCGAATTAAACAGCACACTCTTGATGTTTATTTTCAGTGTATAAAATATTTTCTGTGTGCTTTTTAAGTATCTCAATGATGCATACCAAAATCATATGCGGGTACAACCTGTTTCAGAAACGATTATGGGAAGGGTGATTAACGCTCAAAGCAACCAGGACTCTGAGTATGTGAAAGCTGTAAACAGGTAAATCCCTTTTACTTTCTCCAACGTTTGATATATCCGAGAAGATTCTTAGCAAGGAGCATAGCGGGGGCAGTGCTGCGGCTTTGACGCCTAATGTGCAGCGTTTAAATTTGCCTTATTTAGAACACGTTAGGTGCAAAACGGCGTTTTCTTGGCACATACCTTCCATTGGCGGAACTGCAATGCACAACATATAAAACATTAATTTAGATATAAAACGACGGGGGAGGAAGGCGTGCGGGGAGCCGTCTTAATGAAAGTAAAAAAAAAGTCTCATCTCCTGCGTTGGTTACGGATAGCATTTCAGGTACTGTCGCTTCAGAAAATCACCCTATCGGAGGTATGCCTTTTGATCAAACGGTACTAACAATACTACTAAACTAATGTGGCCAATAATGAAAATTACATAATTTAAGGCAATCGCCTTACACTATGTCTGAAGTCTAAGGCATTCGCCTTAAACTTCAGATATCCAATAATTATCCACGTTGAAGAGTTTTTTTTTTTTGCTTTTTTTCATTTTCAATATTAAAAGACAGTATTTAGTATACTGCTCGGAATAAAGCAACATTTTTTCGAGTAATGATATATATTTAATTTTTACACACTATAAACGACCTAAGTTGGACGAACATCGCGATTTTAAAACTATAGTAAAAAATTCACGCAGATACTTCGCCGCATTGCTACGAGCGGGCGGAGTGAAACTTACAATACCGAAGTATATAGTGCTCGCAAATTATTTTCGAAATTCGCACTTTGACAAGTTGACAAAATATTGAATGTAGTACAAGAATAGTGCATTTTTACAGTGTACGAAACGAGAATTGTAAACAGTACGTACACTAAACAAACGATAGCGCTTTCCTGTAGAAAACAGGAAAATCTACACTCTCCGTCTACATGAGTACCGTAAACCTAATATCGTCATCGCTAATTTTTTTTTATTATCGTCAACGAGGAGAAGATCACTATTTAGAAAGCGATTTTTTTTTTCTCCTTTAAATTTTTTGGTTATATCGATAGGCTGACTACAGTTCAGAGGACTGGTTGTATACATTTACTCGCATCTGTCTATACATTTTTGTACAAATGAGTGCCTTCTTCTAGGTTAGGCGAGCTTTTCCTGGAAAGAATTTTGACGCCTTTTGCGAGGGTTGAAAGGATTTACAAAATGACATCTAATGGAAAAGAATACCACCGATGCCTCAACACGTTGCACTCATTCACAAGGCGGGTAAGTCAAATGAATTTTGGACCTGAAAGGTAAACGTGGCAAATTGACAGGCAATGTTATTTTAATTCACTTTTTCTACGTAGACTGCGTTACACTCTTGGCGCAAGCAAGGTAACCAATTTTTCCTTGTTTCAAAGTTAAAACATTTATTGAGAACTACTAGACAGGTGAAAAGTATTCTCTTATGGCACTAACCTCAACAGTAAAGCTTTCGGAACTAATAATACTATTTTAAAATAAAAACAAACAAAAAATCGCCGATGACGTGTTTGCGTTAACTGTGTCACGCAGTGTACAGTATTCAAATGAGGGGCAGTTCTTATTGACATACATGCTTTAGATTTTTATTTACCCCCAGCTATCTGACGTTTAAATCCGAGGTTTTAACAATTTCGTTTTGTTTTGTTATGTTCTGAATGAACCAGGAATCTAAACACCCATCAGGTTCATCTAAACCTATAAACAAGTTAATAAACACGAACAAAATGTGTTTGTTTTGAAACGCAGCATATTCAGTGAAAATCACACTGCGCACAGGGATCCTAGGTTCAATCCCCAGATCCCCCCTCCCCCCCCCCCCCCCCCCTGCCCGTTTTCGTTCTGGACATCGTGTATCACTACTGCGTTGTGCACGTTACAAAAAAACCAGGCTAGTGGCTGTACTGCACTAGATAAATTGCCCCATCTACATCTGAGAGACAAGTCGCCAGTCGAGGCAGACTAACTTCAGGCTGTATAACCATGCACACAAACACAACGTAGCATACTGCGCAATACGGTGAGTGCGCGCGTGACATACGCGCGTTTCTCGTATTTTCTTGCTGCAATTTAACGCTCATCACAAAATATAGTCACGTTCCCTGATATGTGCATTCCACCGCACGAATCACTTTGCTCGCTGTTTTTCAGCTGTCCGGACAAAGGAACTCCGTGGATCGCACTTTTATATCATACTATATGGGTCGGGCTTGGCACAAAAACGTGAAATTTGACTTTTTGTCACAATCTGATGCCGTTTCGCCTGTCTGGTCGTGCATTTACCGCCTGTCTGGACTTTCAGCGCAAACATGTGCCTGTAGAATCTTTTCATAGACAATAGAGGGTTCAAGGGCCACTCTTAACACTACATTTCCACACATTGTGCACAAATCACATTCGATAGCCCGCTGCAGGATAAGAATAGCCGGACATGAATTCTTCCCACGAAGCCTTCCACCCCGTCCACTTCAACAGAGCGAACACTGGAAAGGAGACAAGCGCAGAGGGTGAAACCACCACGGCCTAGAAACATGATTGGAATTAGCATTCCTTTGTGTACGCAATGTGAATATTTCTTACTCTTTGCGCTAGTCGATTCGAATCTCGACGCGACCAAAGCGACACTCTTTTGCTACTTGAATGGCACTTTCAGTCTAGACAGCAAGGCACATCAACACCTGCTATCTAGCAGGTGTTGGGGGGGGGGGGGGGGGGGGGGGGGCACGGTTCATGTGAAACGGAACCAAATGCCATAGCATATGCAAAGATATCGACAAAATCTTGAAACTTATTGTTACTAGACAACCGCAATCAAATATATCGTTTAACGACATGTTCGAACGCAGTCGAAAAGCTGCGGTTGTCCCTTAAATTTTGACCGCACACTGACCCGTCACATCGAGCATTCGCGCAGCGTATGCTTGTAAAGGGACACACGATACTACTTTTACACTTTGTTACTTTTTCACAAAGACCGTCTAGGCTATTTCCAGTTAATTGTATTAGTTTATATACTGGGTGCTTTTGTTTTAGTCGGTCCTACTTTTTTTTTTAAAGGAAACTTCTGTTAGAGTTTTGTTCTGGCTATGAGTAGAAGGCCACTGCGCTCCTACAAAAGAGGTGAAAAAACAACAACACTTATTTAAATGTATAACTAAAACGTATTTACTGACTTTAAAAACAAAATTTGAGGCATAATGTATTTACAAGCCTAATGTTCGACCTCAATACGGTCCAGCCGTGCCATGAAATTTGTATTAAAACATTCGTAGTCGGTGCTGCGGATCGAGGAACACCACCCTTGTACACGGGTTTAAACCGAAACTTGGAGGGTAAAGAGCAGCACTATCGCAACATGCTTCACTTGCTGATCCCGTGGAGGTGCGGACATACCTCCATCACTGTCAGCCCTTTGCCAGCTTACTTTTGGCTCGAATCCGTGTACAACGATGACTTTTCTCGCTCCGTAACACCCACTACGAACTTTTTTTTATCACCGTATAGGCCGCATCAACCGTAACACCATATTGAGGTCGAAGGTCCATTTCGCACTTACGTTAAGTGTCCAAAAATAAAAGTTAAAAAGTTTTTTTTTTTTTTTTTCAGACATCCCGATTAGATAACTCATTATTTTATTTCGCCTTTCTGCGGACCGTTGTGGCAACCACCTTGGCCACGGGGCTAAAATACCCTAACGCAATTTTGTTTTTGTTAATAGTGGACCGACCGAAACAAAACACTCCATTTATTGTTTTCATTTAACACTCCAATACCACCTTTTTCTTATTCACAGTACTGACTTAAGAATTTTACGTATCGTTTGCAGGGCTTGCGAACTGTTAGGTGTTTGCCAATCCCAAGGTGTATTTATTTATATTAACGCATAAAATACATCCCAAAATGGAAACTTCCAAGCGCTTGTAAAGAACGAAATTTCAATTGCAATATCACATGATGATCTATGGTACAAGAACATTCTCATGATGCACAACTTCTTATAATAAACTTCACCTACCCAATATGTTATCTTTGTTTATACACTGACGTTTTGTTGACATGTATTCAACATTGCTTATAGACCGTCCCTTCATGACGTCCGCCATGTTGAAATTTGACGTGGCTGATTTGGGGGAGATTAGCAAATCACTTTATTTGCCCATTAAAAGGCGCTATAATTCAAGGGTTCCTGCCAACGCGGCTTTCTGGTCCCTAGTTTAAATGGTACTTATATCTAAAATATTTACTTTATTGTTTGTCGCCCAATCCAACTGCACTTGAAAACAGTCTATTTCAAGAGCACGAAACTTATAGCAATTTTCTAATAGTGAGTCATTTCTTCCGTCAAAAAGGTGATCTCCGAAAGAAAAGCGGACATGAAGGAAGATTTTAACAGAGGTATACTGGTTAATGACGAAAGCGAGGACACTGGACGAAGTACCAAGCTCAAAAAACCTTTTCTTGATCTTCTTCTAATTGAGCATTTCAAGGACAATAAACAGATCACCGAGGAAGATATCAGGGAAGAAGTCGACACCTTCATGTTTGAGGCAAGTAGTGATTTTGACTAATTTGATGTTTTCCCTTTTCTATCCTTTGTGCCACCTAAACATATGCTTAAGGCGTCCACACATATTAGTTTTATTAGTGTTATGTGTTACAAGCGATACTGAGCACGCTCAATAATGGTTGTAATTGGTTTGACCCACAAATGAATCGCACAGAAAATTAGTCGATCATACTCAGGGAACAAGATAGAATCAAAACACGCGCATCCCACGTGTGTCTCCTCTAGCTCACTTACTATATTAGCAATGAGTTTTAATAAAAAAAGGAGTGTTTTTCTACCTTTAGATTCAGCTATAAACAAAGCCTTAAGCGTGGAAGCATATTTATGATTTATGTACCGCTGTAGGCATTTTTATTCAAGTAAGCCCGTCCTTAATAATAATAATAAAAAAAAAAGATATCACCACGAATGAAAGGCTCTTTACAGGTTACATTATTACTCGCGTCCCATCTCATGGTGATGCGCCGGTGATGTACGTTAACGCCGGTGACGTACGTTCAATTTATACTAAATTCGTTTGGAGTTAAATAACGTACGAAATCGCTCAAGAATGATTATATGCTACATCCGTGCTCGAAACGTAGCTAACAAAACGCAAAATAAAATTGCTCAGTCAAACTACAAAGGAAAATTTACTTTTCAGGGTCACGACACAACTGCTATGGGAATCAGCTGGGCGCTATTCCTGATAGGCCACAGCCCCGCGGAACAGCAAAAAGTACACGACGAACTAGATTCTATTTTCGGAGACGACACAGAGCGCCCTGTAAGCCACGAAGACATGAAGGAGATGAGATACTTGGAATGTGTTATTAAGGTAGCCTTTCCTTTATCCTAATGAAACATTCTAGCATTCACGATACACGCAGACTTGCTTATTTCATGGTATGTTTCAATGTCTCATACTTAGGAGTCGCAGAGAATTTACCCTTCTGTGCCGCTTTACACAAGGACTGTTGAAGAGCCTTTCCAACTTGGTGAGTTTACAATGTTCGAATATAAGTGCATAAGTGAATATCCCCTCAAAATGCCTAACTTCCTTCCGCCCCACCTACCCCCCCCCCCCTTACTAGCCCCCCCACCCCCCGCCAAAAAAAAAATAAGAAAGTAACGTATATGTGAGTTGTGTAACCGGCTTTAAAGTTAACCCTAGGCTAATGCTACGTATGGGCATACGCTTGTATACGATACGCGACTACCACAAAGAGTAAAATTTACTCTAGCTTAATCATGTTTACAAAGATCGATTGACTTAAAATGTGCCGAGCTTTTACCATAAGCATAGAGTATGTGGGTTTCGTATGCTGCCTATGTGTGATGGGGAAAGGTGGGCTGACCTGTCCGGGGCACACCCGTGAAGTCCACACGCACTTCACGGGTGTGGCAGCTTAACGCATTCAGTGTCCTTCGGTTTTTATCAGCGTGATCAAGCTAGTGTAAATATTTTGACTTTATAAACTCAAGCTAGTGTAAATATTTTGACTTTATAAACTCAAGCTAGTGTAAATATTTTGACTTTATAAACTAACTGTTTGCTCTCCCCAAGCCCTCGCTGTCGGTAGAGTATCTGGCTGGGGATCACTTGGTCCCAAGTTAATTGAAAAAAAAAAAAAAAAACACTCTAAAAGCCGGGAGACGTCATAATTAAAATAAGGACACGACTTGACATAACATAAAAATCACCCTTGGGAGTATTTTTCTACACAGGCCCCTTGGGATTTCTACATACTTTATACAACGTTAATCCACGTGTAGCGCATACAAAATAGCTGAAAAAAATAGCTTACGAAATGCCTGATAAAACACATTTTGTGTTAATGTCTAAACAATAGTAATCAGCTTCGAAATTACACCCTTATATTGAAAACGGCTTCACTCACTTAGCTTTTCTTTTACAGCGGAGCTGTTAAAGGAGTACTCCACCGATTTTTTGAGCTACCTCAACTAACTATATTTTTGGACTCCCCGGCCTTTACTCTCTCCGGTATGCTATTTGGAATCGCGAAATTCATAATAGTTATTGCGAAATCGGCAAATGAAAATGATGCAAAAACCAACATTCAAATATACGCGCGCTTTTCAGGGCCGTGACGTCAGTGGCAGGCAGGCGTGCCAGTCGAGCAAGCAGCCAAAAAAATAGAATATGCCAATCATTTGTTCCGTGCTGGAGCGCGGGTACTGCAGCGAGCTTCCCAAGCATTCATTTGACACCATGAAACTGCTTCGAATCAGTTTAAAACAAAATCTACAGCCTAAAGAGTGAACCCCTGCCTTCCACTGACGTCACTTTTTCATTGTTGCCAGTAGAGACTTCGAGCTTGAAAAACACGGTGAGGACCAAAACTGTAAATTCAATAACTTCGGGAAAAAACAATATTTTGACCTAATATTTGGGATACTATTTTCGCGATGTTTGTTGGTTAGCTTAGCAAAATTTCAAGCAAATCGGAGACAATGAAAAAATCGGTGGAGTAGCCCTTTAAGGGCTAGTTTCCCCAGGATCGTGTCCGCCAGCGAATAAATGTCGACACAACACTCCGGACAACTACCACCATCTATAAGCAACCGTGGCAACCAGACAACCGGCTTGCCGATTGCCTAGTTGCCGCCGTCGCTCATAAATGGCGGTAACCTTTCCAGCCTTTCCACTCTAGCTTGCCGACTTGCGGCCAGCCATTACTTCATTTCCAGCATAGTACAGCTTCGCTGGTCTTCCTTCTTCACCAGAGTGGAAAGGCTAAAAGTTTGTTATTGGAAGAAGAAGAAACAACGGGTTTAAGATGTTCGTTGGCCTCACTCCAAGAATTTAAACAAGAAACCCAAACCCACAATTCTTTATCTGACTTATGAGGGCTGTCCTCAGCGGCGATTCTTCGCGAGCCCGAGGTGAGGGTCCCTTTTGTGGCCTGTGCTTGCCTCACTCCGACATCATTGAAGGTTTTATCAATCACCACTATGCCTAACCGCCGACCATCTTGCTTATAACACGCCTACATCTTCACAACGAGCCCAAGACCTCGACACGGCTGCTCCCATCGGCATTTCTGTGGCTTCATGTGCTGCGTCTTGCCCGCAACACCTGGTCACTACTGGCATCCGAACAAGATCATCGGTGTCGTCTGGATCTGGTGTGCTGTTGTTCGTGCGCTACAGCTTTCACGGTTTCCTCAGTGCCGGGCCCGAGTACATAATCGCTCAAGAGCCACCATCAGCCCAAAACTAACGTAGCCTTAGCCAACTGACACCTTTTATTTCACGGGTGAGCCTGGATCTATACATTCTGCTTTCCTTTTGTTTAGTCATAGCCTCGGTGGCAATAACCTTCCTCATTTTTCCTCAACTGAAATCGACTATCATGGCTACTTCTGAACTCTGTGCACTATGCTCAGACTCCATGTCAAATGACGGCCGCTACCTGAAGTGCGATGAATGCGCCAAGGTCTACCACCTAGGAAAAAAATGCTCAGGTATCTCTGAAAGCACATTTAAGGGAATGAGCGCATCGAAGGTAGACAAATGGCGCTGCCCTGCATGCCGCGGAAGGCAGTCAAAGGCTAACTTGGAAAGCCTTGATATTCCATCCACTCCAACCAACACTAGTGCCGTCTCAGCACAGCTCACAGAAGTTAATGAGAAACTAGACCTACTTCTTTCTTGGAAAGACTCAGTTGGTGCTCTTCATGAGCTACTCCCGAAGGTCGACACTCTGCTGCTTTTGACGCAGACTGTAGATACTTTGAGAGTTAGCCTGAGTGAGATGCACAAGTCACTGAATTTCTTTTCATCAGAATATGACTCTCTTGTGGAGTCATCCAAATCTCACCACAACGTCATCAAGGAACTTCAAACCGAAATGAGTACATTGCGTACTGTCCTGGCAGAGCAAGCAAAGGAAATTCAACAGCTCAAGTCCAACCAGAATGACAGAGATCAAACCAATCGCCTCCCGAACTTGGAAATACATGGGATTCCATTCAAGTCGAATGAGAAAGTTGCAGATATTATGACTGACCTGGCAGGAAAGTTGAAGATCGATTTTCAACCTGCACATATGATGTCTGCTCAACGTCTGCCGGCCAGAACAGGATCAATACCTCCAATCCTGATTCGTTTCTCCTCAGTCCCATTAAAAGAAACTTGGATGTCCACTCGGGGAAGCTTAAGATCCATCACCCTCGAGGATTCCCATCCTCGAATATACTTCAACGACAATCTTACTGACGCTAATAGGAAGCTGTTCTGGATGGCACGCACAAGAGGAAAGGAGAAAGGCTTCAAATACATATGGACTCGGCATGGCAAAATTTATGCAAAACAAAATCAAAGCTCAACAGTCCTTCGCATCGCTGACAGTGATGCACTGGATCTAATCAACTAGGTTTTGATGACTAGTTGCTTTCAGCTAAAAGACCTTCAATCTTGCTTAGAAATCTTGAACCCTAACTCAAGTTGTTCCTTCAATTTATTTCATGTAAATATCCGAAGCATTAATAAGCACTGGGATGAATTTCTTATCGCTGTTAAGTCCGTACTTCCCATAGCTGACGTCTTCGTCCTTACGGAAGTTAATATTCACAGCAAAAATGTAAACCAATTCTCCCTGCCTAGATTTAAAAGCATATTCTACACACGAGACAAGAAACGCGGTGGTGGAATTGCGGTGTTTTTAAAAAACGCGTTGTTTTCATCGGATGTACAGTTATCGTTCAACTCAGCGGAGACAATAGCACTGCGTATCTTTACTTCTGTCTTTGAAATCTACTTACTTGCCTTTTATAGACCGCCTTCTGGAAAAATTTCCGAATTTATCTCTGACCTGCATAAAGGCCTACAAACTTTGCCGAATCATGCATCGCTCTGCCTTGTAGGCGATTTTAACATCGACCTTTTGAAACCTTCCAAATCTTTGGTTTGTGAATATCTTACTCTTTTGGCCGATCACGGTATTGAACCTCTGATACTTGCACCCACAAGGGAAGAAATCTTGGGAGACAAGTTAGTGATTTCGGCAATTGACCATATCAATGTAAGATCTTTATCCACTACAACAAATGCGGCAGTTATATCACACAAACTAGCGGACCATTACTTTGTAGCCTGCCACTTGGAATTTTCAGTTTGCGCTTCAGAACCAATCCCCAAAAAGCTTCGTCGTCTTGAACTTATAGATAAAAAAAAATTCGATCACTTAATATCTACTCATGATTGGTATACTTTTCAACGATCTGTAGCTCAATCTGATATCTACTCATCCTTTGTGCTACCAATCAAGGAGTTCTCGCAAGCTTCAAAAAGGGTTGTTATGCTAAAGCAAAGGAAAACAAATATCCGTTGGCTAAATACCGAAATACTATCTGCTATAAAACTTAAGGAATTGGCCTGGAAAAGATGTCGCCGCTCGCCTCATAACACCAGCCTACGTGATGACTTCAGAACATTACGGAACAGAGTGAGTGCGCTTATTAGATCTGCGAAGCGGCTCTATTTTCAGAAGCAATTCACTGACTCTCGATCCAACTCAATTAAAACCTGGTCTTTAATTAACGAATTGCGCGGAGCTACATCGCCTCGTTTAAAAGCAAACAATTTCAATGGTGTTTTTGGACATAGTGCGCAAGCTACGGCCAATATCTTTAACAACTTCTTCGCCTCCTTCTCGGCCAGAGCACGCTCAAATGCCACACCGTCATCTTTTCCAAATTCGAATTCAACTTCCGCATTTCTCCCTAAAATGTCCATTAATGATTTGGAGTCGATCATATTAGGGCTCAAACCTAATAAAGCTCCAGGTCACGATAATATATGCCTTATTGATCTTCGCAGAAATTTAAGGTACATACAGGACACACTTCTTCTTATGTTTAACGAAATACTCGAGACTGGGTCTATTCCAAATGAAATGAAAACTGCCATTGTAAAACCGCCTTACAAGGGAGGGCAACGAGATAAAGTAGAAAACTATCAACCAATATCTATTCTATCACGCCTAGTTCCAATATTGGAAAAATTTATTTATAGAACCATGGCTTCTTTCGTTGATAAATATAACATAATAGCTTCTTCTCAATATGGTTTTATTCCAGGACGGGGTACACAAGCACTGCTCGAAACACTCTCTGACAACCTAAATTTAGGTTTTGAACACAACCTGTTTAGCTGTGCATGCTTCCTCGACGTTGCGAAGGCGTTCGACACTGTGAGCCATTCGATTTTGGTACAAAAACTTTCTTCTGTTGGTTTCCGGGGACCTTTCCTGTGTCTATTACAAAATTTTCTGCAAGACCGATCCCAAGTGGTTTCGATCGACGGTGTATACAGTGCCAAAGTTTTCTTAAAAGCGGGTGTTCCTCAAGGTTCAGTTCTTTCTCCTCTTCTATTTAATATATATGTGAATGATATGTCTAGCATGGTATCAAACTGTACCCTTTTTCAATATGCTGATGATACACTCCTACTAACGAGTCATCGGGCTTATCATACAGCAATACAAATGCTTCAGGAATGTACACATAAACTCATGGAATGGTTTGAAATTAATCTTATAAACATAAATATCTTTAAAACAAAGCTAGTCTGCTTTCGCAATCCTTTAAAAGTTGTGGTTCTAAATATTCCTTTTCTTCTTCACACATCACACTGTGTAGGATGTCATTGCAGTCCAATTCCTTGCTCAGAGACGGTAAAATACTTAGGCATCCAGTTTGATTCGGACCTTTCATGGAATTCCCATCTGACAATAGTATGTTCAAAACTAAGAAGCGTCCTATGCTTACTCTACAAGATTAAGACGTTTTTACCATTCGGAATTCGCAAGCTCTTAGCCTACTCTTTAGGATATAGTATACTTCAGTATGGCATTACAGTTTTCGGCCAATGTTCTGGATTATGGCATAAGAAAGTAAATAATATCTTAAAAAGTATTGTACGAGAGGTTAATAACAAACCTTCAACCCCAAGCGTGAATCTTTTTCAGGCCTTATCTATGCCCACCTTCGAATCACTGTTTTTGGAATCAGTTATACTAAGTCACTATTGGACAAAGGATTTTAAAGCACCTCGACCTAATTCACGAGAACTGAGAATGGTTTCATGGTTTCTTGTTCCAGTATATTACACCCGCTATGGCAAGAACCTGCGATCTTTTTATGTCCCTCAGATATTCAATTCTTTACCTTCCGAATTCTTCGACTTCACATCCAAAAAGAAACTCAAAAAAGCGCTTCGCCATCTTTTATCTACCAACGAGGCCCTGTAATCCGTCACAATTTTATTTCACAATTCCTTTTCAGTTCTATAAAGAATGTTGAACACCAGATTTTATTATTTTTATTTTATTTGGTTTATGTTTGAGCAAATCAACACGACTTACAACACCCAGTCTTTCTGCTTCAAGAACCACAACACCAAGAACATAACATCTGTCAAGGCCTTCTTCAATGGTGACAATGACCGGCTTGCGTGTTTGTGCATATGTGTAGGTGTGTGTATACGTGTTTTCCCTTGAGTCTAAGTGTAATAAGTGTCACAAATGTTATGGGAACTGACTCAAACTTTTTTTTTAGTACGTGGCATAGTTATTTTTGAGGCCACTGCAGATAGGTTCAGTCATACAAGCCCTGGATGGCTTTGACGAACCTGACTTGTGACGTGGACATGCTAGTTTTATTAAATAAATTTATTATTATTATTATTATTATTATTATTATTATTATTATTGAGTTTTAATTTGTAATGTTTTTTTTTCGTTTAGCTGGTACGTCACTTCCCAAGGGAACAGCGGTTCAAGTGGCCGCCTACTTTTTGCACCGAGACCCGAAGGTATTCCCCAAACCCGAGGAGTTTCAGCCAGAGCGATTCCTTCCCGAGAATGCGAAAGGAAGGCACCCCTTCGCCTACGTGCCGTTTTCAGCAGGACCTCGCAACTGCATCGGTATGCCGCATTCGTGCTTCCCGAACTAACTCCATACGTTTCTGCGGCGCTGCGACAGTGGAAACCTGATGCGAAACTTTATTTTTCAGGTCAAAAGTTTGCGATGTCGGAGGAGAAAATTGTCCTCGCCAACATCCTCCGAAAGTACAAGCTCAAGTCTTTGAGTCACAGGGACGAAGTTGGATTAGTCGCCGAAATAGTACTCAGACCCAAAAATGGACTCCGGATCACGTTTACTCCAAGGGCGACTCCTTAAACCATCGAATAAAGCCTTCCACGGAAACAAACAAATAAACATACGATAACATTTGTTATAAGACTCTTTCGGACCATGCCTTCCAGGGTATCAACGCTTGAGCAAGCCACTATTTTCCTGCACGTCAGCGAAGACGACTCCATGATTTAAGGGCCATATCGTGCCAAACAACCCTATTCTCCCAGCCAATACTATCGATTGCATTATCTGTCTCATGGAGCTAGTCACTATATATGGGACGCTGCATTTCCCAAGCGCTGCGAAATACAATCAACTCTAAATTTCTGGTGCTTTCTTTTAATGCGTGCATTACAGTTACCGGATAACCCGACAGATACCAGTATCTTGATAAGCAATGAAATGATTGTACAGCGACCCGCGATTCTACGGTTCTAGGTGACAGTACGTAAGCGCAATACCAATCTCAAAATTTGGCTCTGATCGGCTATAATGTTTCGTAGTCATCAGCAGAAATCGCCCCTTCCGGAAAAACAGCCGAGCCGGAACATAATTGAGTTCGCTTGAGGCTAGCGGGAAACGAATCTTCCAGATCATCATGACTAAAAAAACGCTCTGTCCAATGGCCCTGTGTATAAATTTGCTCCACTATGGACTCCTTAATGTATACGTGTATCTTTCTTGAACCGTGTGCGCCGAAAACGAAGGCAGAGGAAGAGACGAGAGCGTTCGGGGACGTCAGATGGCGGAGCTCTGGTTCGACTGATTAGTGGGTCTTTGTCTCACCTGCCCTAGTCGAACGCGTCTGAATGGGAAAGCCAAATGCGTGACGCCGGCATTTGGCGTTCTAACGTGTCTGACGAGTGCAGTAGACAATAGAGCTACTAGCTTCAGGTCTAAGCACTAACCAGTCGAATCAGAGCTCGACGTTCTGAAGTCCCCGCGTGCTTCGTCTCCTCTCCCTCAATTACTCGGCGTATTAGCCTGTGGGGAAGGCGAGCCGTGTAAAGCGACAATGTTTCAGGAGAAAAAGTGTAGTCACCTCACTGCCATTCAGACTGGCTAATGATGGGTGCAAGGCACTTCTAGCCGTCTTCACAAGCCAAGGTGATTAGAATGACATCATTGGTTGGTGCTGTAAATATTTTTTTCGGCTGGCGTACACAAGTGTTACCTCGAGGAATGCAGACAAGCTTAAACGACGCCGTTTCTTGCAGTATGTAGTACATACTGCAAGAAACCATTATCGTGCCAATATTTACCTGAAAAAAAACACGTGGAGGATTAATGGAGGTCATGAACGTACGACGCCCCGCTGGCGACGATGTTTGAAGGAGTCCGACCTAAAGGTGCGGTCTACTCTAGGACACGGACCAATTAAAACAACGCACAAAGTTCCTTATGGCAGATTGCATTCCCTAACTCTTCGCTCTAACGGCGGTGATAAGTAAACAAGATTGCGTAAGTCACGCACCCTCGACTTCGTGAATCGAATAAAAAGTACACACAAGAACAATCTCGTTAGAGTCAATTCCCCACCTTCCGCTCTATGCCTTCGAAGGCGTTCGTTTTTTCTGCAGAGGACAAGCCGCGTGATGCCGCCAGTCGTGAGCCATGTTTTTCTCCGGACAAAGTGGATAGATTGACTTTTGGAAAGGGTCTATTCCAGCGGGGGCATGAAAACATCCCTTGATGCAGCCTGTTCTCCGTGTGACCTTAAAGCTCGTTCACGCACTTGCAACCGAGTAGGACTGGCTGAGACAAGACCGGTTTTTAGGCCAGATGCGCTGCTGCGGGTCAGGTCCTAAGCCGTCGCAAGAGGCTTAAAAACTGGTCTCGTCTCAGCCAGTCCTACTCGGTGGCAAGTGTGTGAACGAGCCTTTACGACAGACCTCAGCGGACGCTACGAGTTTTCGTAAACCGCGTTTCCCCCGCCGCTAAGCCCTCCACAACGAAGAAACCGTTACTGCGCCTGCGCGCCGATGGCCTTGACTGTAGAGTTTCAAGTATCGTAGCGGGTTGCGAAGAGCGTTGCGCGACGGCGAAAACGATTTACGAAAACTCCCTATCCCAATGTGAGTGCCACGCAGTGCTGCCGACCTCCGAGACCACTTCTTCCCAACCTTGATCCGACAATTTCCTAGATTTCCCTAGACTTCTGGAAAATGTCTTTGTTCACGCAAATATTGAGATTATAGTTTTGTTTTAGCTTGAAACGAGATGGTCGGCAGTTATATCACATTTTAAATTTTTGACTTGTTTCGCTGGGGCCTTTTAAATGTGAAAATTATATATTAATTATGCATGTACTCGAAAGCCGAAAACTACTCTGAAAAGAATTTAGATTTGAACAAATGAGACGTCGTCCTCTCTATTTTCTGTCCCTTCTACGTTTTAATGTTTCTTCTCTACCCCAGTCTCAGGTTAATTCAACATGGAGAACAAATGTCTTTATTCCCCTAAACGATTCCCAAAATCCCTAGATCTACGAGAAACTCTTTGGAACAGGCAGCACTGGTGCCGCGTGACCTACGGGAGGGGAACAGCGACGCGTGGCAGACGCAGACGACCTTGCGCTATGCGGAGCGTAAGTTCGTCTGCTTCTTGCACAAGGGTTGCGATGGTATCAGAACGCCGAGTTCTTAATGACTGAATTAAAAAATAGTGGGTAGACCTCGAGGCGTCTAGCATCGAGGTCTACTCACTATCTTCTCAATCAAAGCCAATCGGAGCTTGGCGTCATTCTGACGCCACCACAACTCCCGCGCAAGACGCAGACGACTTTGGGCCCTAAACTCGTGAAACACAAAGTTGTAGCCGGAAGTTTGCGGAGCGCGCTGGTTGGACGTCGGTGAAAAACTTTTCAGTGGCTTAGCTCGGCTACGCCAGGATATACATAGCGTGAGCTTAGGTTCAGCTGGTTATTCTTATGGCTTTCCTGGTTGTCTACGATTAGCTTGGTTATCACGCTTAATGCTGCTTCAATGACACACACACGGTATACGCATTATGTGACACAAAGTAAACGTTCGGCCACATCGTTTAGAACCGGAAGACCTGGTGGCATGGGCGGGTAATGATACCCGTTGGTAACGCTAAATAGTGAATCTTCTGCTTAACGAGAAAGTTCTTGCACGTTGTACAAACCCGCGCCACGGTTTCACCCCACTCAGGCGGCGCCGCTAAACTCAACGTTTCACGCATGGCAGTACTTACCGGCGTCAAGTCTTTCATGTGCCAGTGTCTTTCACACACGTCGCACACATATCCAAACGGATTGTTTACGAAGTCTGTCTCGAAGGTCCGAGTCGCACTGGCACTTTCGCTAAGTTTCATCGTATAGTCAGTCAATCGGCGAGCCTAGACGTCATCGACGGCGTCTTGTTGTTGCTGCTGCTGAGATGGTCGGGCACGTCGCTCAGCCTCCTGCTGCGACGCCGCTTTGCTAGACGTTCCTTCCTTTGCTCCGGTGTCTCCGCAGCACGTTTAGCCTTCTTCTATTCGTTCTTCCTACGCAACTACTTCGGGATCCGATGAGTTAAGCTTCTCCGCTCTTCTGCGTCGCTGAGCAGCAATTTCGCTGTCCTTCTCCATGGCTATACAGATTGGCAAACGCCCCGCTATATGTATACCCCCACTGATACCTCTGCGCAGGCGCACAAAATGAGAGGCGCTATCAAGCGGCTCCGGTGCAGCGTCAGACTTGGCTACTGCGCAACGGAGGTGCACAGCTGGGCACGCGGTGGCGCCAGTGCGTCTGCCGCGGCCATGACGTCAGTCCTCTGGAATGCGCAGACCGGCGAGGCGCGCGCGGCGGCGGCGGAGCGCGCGGCGGCGGCGGCTCCGGCGCGCCAGTTGTGCGCCATGTGACGTCACTGCTCCTCGCGCATGAGCAGCACGGGTCTCCAGGAGCCACGAAAAACTGCTCAACCTCGGCCAGTGTAGCTCACGCTACAAAAAGCGCAAAGTCATCGTCGTGACAGGCCAATCGGTGCGCACCGTCAACTTCGACTCCAACTTTGTGTTTGACGAGTTTAGCGACCTTGCTCTCCGCATGGTCCAGCGATTTCTTCACAGTTCTGGATTGGCTGGGATGACTCGTAGCGTCCGCTGTGTTCCATCGTAAAGCGAAACTTTCGGGGCATAACTTCCCGCTGTCTAAATATGCCCGCAGCACAATTACCATCATTGACACAGCAGTCAGCGTGACGCTCCTTCGCGGGACGCTGCGGCCGTAAGGCTTCTCAAGGACGCACAGCGGTGCTTGCAAAACGTCCACGCGTTTAGGATCAAACCGGAGCCCCTCGGATCGAGAAGCAGGTGCCATAACCACTGCGGTACGGGCGAGCTCCTTTCTAATTTTTCTTTACTGAGCGCTAACTACTTTGTGCTACGTTATTGAGGCTAGGGTAGCTTCCACAGTGCTGCAGCCCTACACTGCTGCCAGAGCTCGTTTAGTTTCGTCTTGCGTCTCATGAGTTCACGCTTTCGTGCAAAAGATTCGCGTTGGAGCACTGAGAAATGTACGGTAGCTTTCATAACGTAGAAAAAAATAGACAGATAAAGCCTAGTATAATCTGATTTTCTTTAAAAAAAAATTTTATTTTTTACATTGTTGGTGCACTAACTTATTGCCTTTCTCGACAGATGGCGCGGCGCAAGTCGAGTGAGGTTTAGTAAAGTCATTGGGTTTTAGAGACAGCGAAGGAAGAGTGGATTTGAAGACAGTAGAGATTACCAAGCAAAGATTAAGTGAATGGTGGCAGAAAGCGAGAGAAAACTAGGTATTTGCTTATTAACTGATGGCAAGGGGGCTTCATAGCCTCACTTTCTTAGCAGTGCGGAGTGAATATAGTTTTCACATTTAAATATTCTGAGCTTAAATGGTAAAACAAAATGGCTAGGTGGCGTAAGCTACCGCCCGATCCAAAGGGCTCAGCCAGATTCATCCATCAATCCATCCGTGGTCGTGCTACGGCAACGCGTGTCGCTGGTAGTGTGTTTCAAAGCCACAGCCACGGTGTCTCAAGGCTCGCGTGCGAGGGCTTCACTGTGTCATCACGTGTCGTCACCATCGACTCTCAGTAATGGCTCAGCA